TCCCTATATTTTAGAGAAAAAATAAAGTCATTAGATTATAGTGAAGGGGAGAGAAAATTTGGTCACATTCCAACAATAAAAAAGGTTAATCCTAATGTTAAGAAGTTTTATTTGACGAGTGAAAATCTCCTTGAGGTCTTTTAAACCATCATATTGCCTGAGTTTTATTTGACGAGTGAAAATCTCATTGAGGTCTTTTAAACCATCATATTGCCTAAAACAATAAACCAGGCCAGAGAAAGAAATTTTTCTTGAACCTTTTTTGGGGTTTCTTAAGTTGATTAATTGGTTTTGGGAGATTCTAGTGGTGTTTTTAGGTGAAAATTGGTTGAAAAGTGAATTTTTTAGAAAAAATAACACCAATATTTTGAGCATCTTTATGGTTGTTGAATTCTAGATGGTAGACGATGTATAATCTATTTTTTTCTTATTTTTTTTAATAAATAGATGGATAAAACATTGTCTATCCATTTACATAATAAAAAAATTAGGGTCAAGTGCTTATGTTTGGTTGCTAAGTCCATATGTTAGGCTTGATTTTATATTGGTCATAAGTGTCGGGCCTCCTAGCCCGCAAACTTGGCTTTTTTTTTCTTTTTTTATTTAATTAGAAATAATATATATATATATATGTGTGTGTGTGTTACATTGTTATTATAATTAAACATGTATTTGGGTTATTTTGTTTTTTGAAATACCATTAAATTTTTAGTTTATTTTCCAATAAGATTATAATTGTTTTTTCTTTTTAATTTTGGCAAGTGTTATTTTTTTACACGCTACCGTCATGTTTGTTTTCTTTTTTGAGAAAAAATATTCTATAATTTTTTGTGAGTGTCTATCTCTATTATCATGTAATTAAATAAAAGATATTTTGATAAAAAAACAAAGTAAGTGAAAATACCAGGTCTATGACTGAATGTGTATTTGATGGGTGAACCTAGATCTATCCAATATTTAGTTATCTCAATATTTTAAAAAAATAAGTGTATTTTGAAAAAAATTAAAATTTTTTTTCTACTAAAAAATGTGTCAACAACATCAATAAGTGTATTTTGAAAAAAATTAAAAAAAAATTTCTACTAAAAAATGTGTCAACAACATCTACATGTTTTTTCCTGATCTACACTTAATGAATATTTTAATGAAACTTCTCTTACATGTTAAAAGGTAGCCTACAGTGTAGTACAAACAACTAATTAACTAATTTAGTTATTATAAATTATATCGTAATAAAAATCTTTAAACACTATTATTGCTTATCTTTATTTCTTTTCATGTTTTCTTTTATATATAACTAGATTAGAGGTCTGCACCATTTTATGGGCTAGACCAATTTTTTTAAGTAGTAAAACAAATATATCTAGGTTATGGTAGCTTTTTTAAAGAAGTAAAAGAAATTCTGGAGTTGGGTTAAGTCTTCATTAATTTGATGATATGATAAAAAAAAAAGCAGCAACAACAAATAAAAAAATAAAAAAATAAAACAATAATGGGTTGGGTCAAGTTAGATTAACACGCGAAACTTGTTACTGACACATAATATTGGCATAATTCCATGGAGGAATGAAATTAGAAAAAATCAATTGTAAAAAAAGAGACATGAAAAAAAAAGAGATCTAAATCAACTTAGTCCAATCTTTCAAATCGTATTCTGAACAAAATCATGATTAATAAAATATCAAGAGATGAAATCGAGAAAGAAAGTTTCTAGAAAAAGAATTAAAAACAATATAAATATCAATCAAAAGAATAAAAAATAAATTTGATATAAAATAAAAATAAACTAAACTAAAATATTGAGGGATATCATTGAAAAGATAATTTAATTAAGAGAATGATTAAAATAATTAACAATAAAAAATGTGAACCAAATTTGAAAGGTAAAAAAATTCAAAGGAAAGTTAAATTGAAAGAAAATTACAAATTTATGGATTATTTAAAATAAAAAAAAATAAAAAACCAATTCTAAAAGAAAAAGATCAAAAGGCTGCTTTGAAATGTTTAGAGGAAAGCTATAAAACTGAGGAGGAGAGAGAAAAAAAAGAATAAAAAAAATCACCTGCTCAAAACCCGATATTTGTTTGCCACACGTCCTGCCCAGGAATAACAATAACATCTTGAGGATTAAAACACCATCGTGGAAACTAGAATTTGGCTACAGGAATGACATCGTACACACCATCCAAAAAGTGTAAAAGTACCCACGTATATTCATGTAAATTTCATTCGCAGCCACTTTTTTTTAAATTAATTAATATTTTATATACCTAAATATTAAAGTGTTCCTGATCAGACTTGATAATTATATAAAAAAAATAAGAAAAAAAAGATCGAAAAACCCATTGACCTAAGGAAAAGACAATTTTAGTATAATGACATTTTGGTTATTTTATTATGCACTTGAAACAAAAAAGGTGTAAATGACCCTGCCCGCTAGTTTATCAAATTTTTGTCTCTAAAAATATGTTAGTCATTTTATTGTAAAAACAACAAAAAAACCACTTTATTTCGCTATTAAGATCATTTGTGTTTTGTTATCGAGTAAAATTATAATTTTATTATTTTAATATGCAATTCTAATCAATTTAGAGCAACAACAAAAAAGTTAGAGTAGGTAACATCTACTATTGTGATAATAATTATTTTTTTAAAGTTATTTTTATTTGAAAATATATTAAAATAATATTTATTTTTTAAAATTATTTTTAACATTAACATTTAAAAAAAAATTAAGATCTTAAAAAAATTAAGATCTTTTGAAAAATAACATGTAATCGTAAACAAACCTGGTTTAATTTGAAAAATGACATGTAATCGTAAACAAACCTGGTTTAAATTTAATATCTATTTTAGTGTTTGTTTGGAAATATAGTTGCAGTTGTTTTTAAAAATAATTTTTATATTGAAATGTATTAAAATAATATTTTTATTTTTTAAAAATTATTTTTAAAATTAACATATTAAATTGATTAAAAACATAAAAAAATAATTTTTTACCAAAAAAATTAAATTTTTTAAAAATTAGTTTTCTTAAAAATTTATAATATACATGTCCTTGGGTAGAACGTAATTTTCACTGATTTGTAATCTAAGACAAGGACGGAAGTAGAAGAAAGAGACAAGGAGATCTGGATAGGCCCAAGGGTGGTTTTGTCATACCAGAAAGTTGAGATACCTCGTGTCCTTACACTTATCATTTTCTTCTAAAGAACAGACAAAGAAAACGACCTCTCCGTTAACTGTAAATGGAAATAATAATAATAATAAAGAAATGAATTTTTATTATTTCCGAAATATCCAAAACACTAATTTCTATAATATATATATATATATATATATTTCTCTTCATCAAAGTGCCACTGTCTCTCTGTTGCGGTTTACCTTACTCACAGAAAAATTAAACAAAGATGAAACAAAATCAATGACTTCCCTATAGATTATCCAAAAAGCCAAGCTTCTTTAGTGTTTCTAATTCCACAGTAAGCAATTCTGTCTTCATCTCTCCCCATGCTTGGATCTATACTTAGTTGTGGGCTTTTATTTGAGTCTTTAATCTGTGTTTTTTATGATAAGGTCATGTTCTTAGGGGAATTTCTGTATTAGGGCTGCTAGAAAACTTGTGGGCAAGAAGAGAAAATTGGAAATTTTTTATCTTTGGTTCTTCAAATAGAAAGGGTAGCTGGAACTGGACTTTGGCTTGGCTTGATTTGATTACTTTTTACTGTGAAACTTAAAGGATGGAGTGGATTTATGATTTCTTGATGAGAATCATACCTTATTTGAGCTAAAATTTGCTGTTTTTAGGTCTATATAACTGAGTTTGGTATTTAAGCTATTGAATTTTGAATAAACTTTGTTTTTGGTTAAGCTTGAAACGAAGCTCTTTATTTTCGGTGACACTCCGTGTTTTTTTTTGGCGGTGGTTGTGATGATGAGAAATTCAATGGAGATTGGATTTTGCATAGAAGTGTTATATATATAAAGTTTTATTTTGAATAAATTATTGAGAAATTAGGATTTCTGAATCTTTTCTAGGAGGACGTTGTGAATGATGCCGGCAAAATCTGAAAAAGAAGATCGGCGTTTAGACCACAGTGGACAGAGCCTTTTCCAATCAAACGTTTACTCCCAACCTTGGTGGCGTGAAGTGGGGAACAATCCCTCTTTAGGCGAAACTGCATCGAAGTTGTCTTCAGTAAAGAACCTGAACGGTTCTCTTCTGAATGCAGTGACACAATCAAAAGTTAACACTGGCTTACAGAAAGGAGCTATAGTGAACAAAGATACGCAGGCCGATGTAACATCGCTATCCGGTAGTAATCCTTGACACCGTCTCTTTCTTTTGCTAGTATGTTTGCACGAAGATATTATTATTATTATCTCAAACAGTTATCTTATACTAACTGTTTAGGCATCACATCTTCTTTTTGCTTCATGAAAGTGATCAACATGATGTTTCTACGTCTTTAAAATGGGTCATTGAATTTAACTTACTCAGCCCAGCATTCAGTGGTTCGTGGTTAACATCACAAATTGGTTTTTCCATACATATTCGACTTACTCTCTACAGTTTTTACATGAAGGTTTTATTCTTAAACAATGATGAAATTTAGCTAGAAAGAACAAGATTCGATCTTGCACAATGGAAAAGGAAGAAGAGGAATATTCTAGCATGGACAAAGTTTCTCGGTATTGCAAGGATAATGCTCCTTTTATTTCACTCTGGGTATCATATTCATTTGCAAAAGTAATATGGATGTTGGAGGCCCCAAAATGACGGAGAGCTCCTGAAAAATAATAAAGCTCCACAGTTAGGACATGCACTTAAAATTGCATCTGGTACACGAGTTCATGTAAAAGTATTTCGATCATTTTGAATTTTGAATTTAGTGTATCGGGGCTATTGCATATATCTAACCTTCCTCATCACTTTCAGGAGTTCAGGGAATGTTAAGTCTTTGAGAAATCTTTTTATTTAGGAGGCTTCGTTGTTCCTCTTTTTTTGTTTAACAATTAATCCTTATTTTTTTTTTTTTGAGTTTAGGACTCACAAGTACATTTAAAGTTAGACAAGGAGGCATTAGGTTTATACTCCCAGCTATGTTTCTTGAAGTTGTAAAGGTCTTTTTGGTGGAAGTGGGGATGTGGAGAACAACTCAAGGAAAAGAAAAATCCGAAGGCTATTTTTTCTTTTCCTGCTGTTAGATAAATATTATGAGTATAAAGTTTTTAATACGAATTTGTTTCTTTCTGAATTTCATGTCCAAAGTCCAAACACATTGCAAATTTGATTCAGGACAATGTCTTCTGTTACTCTAGTATTCTCTTTTGACAGTTTAAAGTCTTTTGTATAAAAGTGTCTTTTCATTGAGAATTGTCTATTATATAGTCAGAATTTACAAGCTAAGAAAAGAAAGAATACAACATGAAATAAGGAAATAATACAGACTGATATAGGAAATAATACATACTAATCTTCAACCCTTAGAAATAGCTAACCTACAACTAATATATCCTAATAAAGGAAAGAATAATTGAGTCTTGTAACGGTCTCTAAACTCATCAGAATGATGTTTGATAGAAAACACAAATTTACTGCCAAGGGGAGTCACAAATGAGGGATATGGAACAACATCCCAGGTTTGGTTTTCTTCAAGTGCGAGAAGTTCAATTTCAATAGCTTTTCGCCAACAATCATGCTCTGAGCTTGTTTATGAGATGATGGAAGAAAAGTAGAAGACAAGGTGGTTGTGAAGGATGAGGGAGGAGAGTAACCATACCTATCGGGGGGTCTACTAACCCAAGTACTTTGTCGATGAGAGGGAGTTGCAGTTGCTTGAACAGCAGCAGCAATCGGGGAAGGAACTTGAGGAGGCTTGGAGGGGTCTGGAGGCTGGTAGGAAGTAGTAGATGAGCGCCTTTGATATACTAGGAGAGGCTTATAAGGGACTGGAGCTACAGAAGAGTTATTTAACATAGGTGAAACAGAAAATAAAGGAGGAATAGGATACTGATGTAAGGAAAAGAAATATTAGTTTTCTAGAAAGATCACATTTCTAGAAATTCAAATGAGACGTGAATTTGGGTCATAACAAATAAAACTTTTTTGGTGTACTGAATATCCTAGGAAAGCACATTGAATTGATTGAGCCGTGAGTTTTGTGCGTTCATGTGCAAGAAGATGAACATAACAGACACAACTAAAGGTACGGAGATTGGAATAAGTTGGAGGATGACCAAACAACCGAATGAAAGGAGTGTCGTGGTTCAATGTGGGGGAAGGTAATCTGTTGATGAGGTGGACAGCAGTGGAGAGAGCTTCACACAAAAAACAAGGTGTAGATGACTCTAATAGGATAGTACAAACAACATCAAGAAGATGACAATTTTTTCTTTCAGCCACCCTATTTTGTTGAGGTATTGAAGGGAAAGACCGTTGAGAAATGATACCATGATGCTGTAAGAAGTCCTAAAACAAATGGGACTTGTACTCGCATTCATTGTCAGAACGAAGGATTTTGATTTGGGCTGAAAATTGGGCCTGGATATGTGCATGAAAAATCTTAAAAATGGAAAATATTTCATCTTTAGAGTGAAAAATATAAATCCATGTGAAACAGCTATAGTCGTCAATAAAAATGATAGTATTTGTAATTAACATGAGAAGTGACTGGTGCCATACCCCACACATCATTATGTATTAAATCGAAAGGTTAGACGACATGTGGTGTGTGAATAGGAAAGGGCAGAGTTTTACTTTTGCTAAGCTTGCAAGAATTGCAATCAAACAGAACATCACTAAGAGATGGTGAATATTTATTTTCAAGAAAACTAGATTTCAATAAATCATGAAGAACATTAGGGTTTAGATGTCTGAGACGTTTATGCCACCCTCGATAATCAACATGAGCAGAATTACAAGTGATAAAGGGAAAAGAAAAAGGAGAAAGGAAATTGAAAAGGGAAAAGATGTCCCAGTTTAGGCCCTCTCGTGATCATCCTCCTTGACTATTGATCCTGCACAACACAACTAGATTTGAAAAATTCCAGTTTATAATTATTTTCAACCGACCAACAGACAAAAGATTCGTGGAAAGACCAAGTGATACAAAAACATTAATGAGGGAGAAACATCGCCAGTGGCCATGATAGGTAAATGATTGCCATCAGCAGTTTGAATTTTGAGATTTCCAAAATATTCGTTGACATTGGTAAGAGAAGTAGCATTGTTTGTCATATCATTGGAAGTTGCGGAATCAAAACACGAAGGAGATGATGTAGAAAGATTTTTACTTGAGAGACCCAAAGTTGAAAATGCAAAAATGATCAGTTGTTGAATCATGGAAGGGACAGGAGTAGGAGCACTTTGTGTCAGAGGTAAAGAGTCAACTGAGACAGTATATGCTGTCTCTGTTTTCTTGGGAGGTTGAGTAGGGTATTCTTTGATGATATGGCTATCTATTTCGCCGTAGTTGTAGAATTTTCGGGGACAATTTGTAGCATAATGGCCAAATCCCTTACAATAGAAGCATTGAATAGTGCTCATATCCTTGCCTTTTGGCCTGTCTTTTGCTGCATAGGCCACAAGAATAGATGTAGATCGTCGTTGTTCCATGGTGATTTGAGTGAGAAGGCATTGTTCTTTATGAAAGAGGTCACTAAGGCATGTATCCAAGGAGGGAACAAATTCTTGGTTCATCAAGTTGGATCTGGTGCTTTTAAATTCAGGTCTCAATTTCATTAGAAATTGATGTTGTTTAGTAGTTTCATGAACATATTGAACAGAGCTAAGACCTTCACAGATGATAAGCCAACATAAATTATATCAGTGTATTTAGTCCGAAGCTTAGTGAATCTGGAGTAAAAATCAGAGATAGAAAGATAGAAAGACTATCCTATTGAAGAGTGCTCAATTCATGTTCAAGTTGAAATCAACGAGCAGTGTTTTGTTGGTTGTAGATTTTTTTTCAGGTAAGTCCAAATTTGAGCTGCAGTCTTAAAGGATTGAAAATTCAAGATGATGTTAGGTTTGACAGATCCTAAGATCTAATTCATAACTTGAGCATCCTTAACTTCCCACTTGGTTTGCTGGTATGTCTTTGATTTTGTTAGGAGCTGGGTTACTTCCATCAACATGTCCCTATAGCTCCTTACCTTTGACAAAAATCCTGAAATGAAACACCCAAGTAGAGTAGTTCTTGCCATTGAAACGTATTATAGAAACATCAGACTTATTTGAAGACATGAGATCAATAAAACCTTTATCAAGATAATCGAGACTAAGAAACTTGATAGCAAATAATAATTCAGATTGTAGCTCTGATGCCATGATAGTTTAGGGTGTGTTGAATAAAAATATGTCTTTTCATTGGGAATTGTCCATTATATAGGCAGAATTTACAAGTTAAGGAGGAAAAAATACAATAGGAAATAATATAGGCTGATACAAGAAATAATACAGGCTGATCTTCAGCCCTTATAAATAGCTAACCTACAGCAAATATATCCCAATAAATAAAAGAATAAATAGGCAAAGAATCTATTGGTATTTCCTTTGACATCTTTGACCCCATTTGTATTTTGTTCTCAGCTGGTAGCATTCTGCTTGACTCCCTTGCCTCTGCCACCGCCCAAATTCTGGTAGGAAGACGTGACTCTACTCAATGTTCTGCATCAGATGCAGAAAACTGAAGGGATTAAATTGTAGCAACAGTTTAGAAACCCCTCCACCTGAGAATAATATTTTGATATAAATGCACGTGTTGAGTTTATTTTTTACTCTGATAAAAAATGTGTGAGAATGCTTGCTTTGTGTTGATTACTGGTGCCTTAATGACTTTTAATCTTCAGCATAATAAAATTTAATATGATATGTTTGCCCCTTGTTCAAGAAATTCAGATGTACCTGTTTCTCTTAGACGGATGATATCCTTGCAAGTTTCACACTTTGGCTGGTGAGGACTCACTAGTGTTTCTTTTCTTGACCAGATGAAGGTACTGGGCAACACCATCTCAATCATGTCCCCTCACCAACAACTGTTACTATGGACGGACATCTTGAACCAAATTCCCAGATGGAACTTGTTGGCCACTCAATTGTAAGATTTCTATTTCTCTGTCTTCCTTCTGTGCATGTGAGCACCTGTCTTTCTAGTGCATGCTCAACGTGCGCATTTGTGAGCGCACACAGTTGTCTGCCACTGGCAGCTAAATGTCTCTTGGACTTTGCCTTACCTGGTTCCAACTTCTATGCACCCAGAATTCTGAGTTCTCTTACTTTTTCAGGTTTTGACTTCACATCCATATACAGATCCACAGTACGGGGGGATCTTTGCTTCGTACAGACCACAAGCTATGGTATGAACTTCACAGTCCCATGTATATAGTAAAACTTTAACAACAGAGAGACAGCTGTACCACATTTGGCATGCTCCATATCCAAATCTTATGACATTCTACGTTTGCTTCTAAAATACATTTGGCATACTTCACGGTTTCATACCTATAATTGCTTCTTATTTTAGAAACACTCTTCTGTTTAATTATTGAATTTATATTTGCAGTTTTTCGTTCAAATTGCCAGTTCCCATTCAAGTGGTGATCTGGCATCGTGAATAGAAGTTTATCAAGGAATGAGACAACCGAGACCAACAGATTTCTATACCCTGTTTTTCATGATTATCTAAACAATTACATACATTTACCCATCAATGGTCAAGTCATCGGCTCACCAATTCAGCTGTTGAGCATATGGTTCATGGTTGGACCACCACTTATACATTAAGTTTATTTCTTGTAGACTAAATTATGAAAAAATAAAAAAGAAAGATCATGCTCATCGCTAGATGAAAACCAAATGATTTCTTATGACAGGTTGACAAATGTTTTTTTTTGTGCATGTGTATTGACTTATTTGTTTTTGTTTTTATTGTTTGACAGTAAGAGGATAAAATTTGAGATATAGAACTGACACAGGCCTGTCAAAACTTCATGGCTGTTGGTTAGGATTTATTGTGATAAAATCCACCTTGAAGTTCAACTTGTGGTCTTATGCTGGTTTTTTTCTCAGTACTGTTGGTTTGACCATCTTTCAATGGGTATTTCATTGCATGTCTGGTCTGAGAGCCAGCTATAGCGCTGTCTTATCTGGTCCTGATAATGACATGAGAAATGATTAAATTAATGTTCTTCTATTTAATTATTGTTTTCAGACATTTATAGAAGAAATTTCTTGCTGTGATACTAGGTGCCTCAATTTTATGGAATGACTCACGCCAGGATGCCTTTGCCCCTTGAAATGGAAGAGGAACCTGTTTACGTAAATGCAAAACAGTTTAATGGTATTATGAGGCGAAGACAGGCACGTGCTAAGGCAGAGCTTGAAAAGAAAGCAGTAAAAGTTAGAAAGGTAGAATCAATATATCAATTTTTTCATCCGCTGAAATCATTTTGTATTTCCAATGGTAAAATGTTAGGTTTTAGATAAATTGATACCACCTTAAATTGTCAATCTGACATGGCTTGTTTCATATGTTTGAGCAAATTTATAGATTTAATCATGCATTCTCTTTGAAAAATCATCGATTTTATGTGGTTCTTCCATAAATGGTGTTGATAGAAGTTAAATTTTCAGTATCCTTTTCCCGGGCTAACTAACAGCCACTTATTCAAGGCCTAGTTTACTTATTGATGATGATCTTAAAGTTGTTCCCAGTTGTAAATTTACTTGGACATACATGATTGTGAATTCTTTCCCTGGATAATTGTACTTCTTTTGAAAGGAGAGGCACGTTGTCTCTTGCACATTGGGAATTTGATTCAGCTTTTCTTGGTTTTACTAAATAGATGTGTTTTTTATGAATGTTGCAAGTCAAGAAAGAGAAATTAGTGTCATTTTGATATGATGGATGTAAGAAGCACCCCATAGTTGACAACTTCCGAGTTAATGAGAATTTTGAATAGACATTCACATGAAGTGGGATGAAACTGCATTGAGTGTCGAAGTAATTAATGGAGATTTTTTGCACTTACAAATGTCTGTCATTCTTCACTGTTTATTGTTATGGCCTGAAATTAATGGTGATTTTTTGCAGTTACAAATTTTTTGCATTCTAAATTAGAAATTGCCTGTTAAATGATTCAAGTCTCTTGTTTGCCACAGCCATATCTTCATGAGTCTCGACACCAGCATGCTATGAGAAGGGCAAGGGGTTGTGGAGGTCGTTTCCTTAATACAAAGAAGCTTGATCATAATGCTGCCAATCCAACGTCAGATAAAGGTATTAATTCTGGTGCTACTATTTGAAAACAGTCCCCTTACTTTTCAGTTTCTGAATGTTTGCCCCCTGAAGGTACTGGAGATTTGGATTCCTCCGGTGATCTGCAGGAAGGAAAAGAGTCCATGGTTCAAGACATGCAAACACACGCTTCCTCCAATGGCCATGGTAATGGCAATGGACTCTCATCAAGATATCATTCATTATCAGATGATGGCAGCTTCTTGGGTCAGCAGAAGGAAACCACACATGGGAATGGGGTGTCTAATGGGAACGTCTCCATTTATTAAATTTCCACCTTGAGTTGTACGTGCCCCTTCAACATTGCTCCATTGGTTTGATGATTAAAATGATATAGACACCATTTAAGTTCCGTTTTCTCCCTGCCTGTCATTGTATCTTATGGGAGGTTTCTCTTTGGCAGGCAAAGCTGGAGGCATCAGCCACGTCCAACTTGGGGGAGGGGAACTTTCAGCGTGTGGTGTTTCTCAGGCAATTCATTCTTGGCTTTGGGTCTTTTTTACTTGGTGCATGCTGGTGGTGTGAGTGGAGCATATCATATGTGATGGACTTCATGCTGTCTTCAGACTTGAACTAATTGCATCTCTCTTCTTTTCGTCGCTTCTGTAAATATGGCAAAAACTAGTGTATCTACCTTGCGGGAATTAATCCCAAATGTAGTAATTCCAATGGTCTGCGTTTGAACTGAACTTTCGTGTGATCATTTCTTTATGTGTGAGCAGAGGGTTTACCTCTTTTACCCTACCATCTCAACAGTGTTAAGGAGTAGGCGATTATTATTTCCTTGTCTTTTCCCTCCTGATTCCTTTTGGGATTCACCTCAACTTCATCCTAGTGATTAGTGATTGTTTCGAAAAATGTTTGGGTTGTCGTGTTTCACACGGATATGCTTATTGATCTTTTGAGTCAAATTCATCGCCATTCTGCCAAATGTTCGGGGTGGAGAGATTTGGGGGCAGCTCTGTATTATTGTCGGGCAACGAGGGAGAGAACTAGGACAAAATCATGGGGGCATTGAATAGCTTTTCCTGCGCATGAATGGTTTACTCGTAAACGAGGATGTGCTCAAGAACTTGGGAGGCGTGCCATCACCGGAGCCTAGAGAAATGTCTCGGTTTTACGTTGTGGTGATAATTCGAATTTTCTTAAAAAAGAATTCAACTTTTAAGCTATTCATTTAGTTTTTTTATAATGTTTAATTTAAGTTATTTTTAATAATGATTTTACTTACAACCTTATAATATTTTATTATTAAATAATTTGATATATTTTTTTTTAGATTAACGTGAGTGTCCTCATAATATTTTATTATCAAATAATTTGATATATTTAATCTTACAACGTGCACCAAACACAATCAGGACCACCACAAAAGGAGCAAACCTTTTAATTCCAAATCTTTACCATTTAACCACCATCTAGATAATTATTTAATCTTACAACGTAGTGGCACAACACATCAATACAACGTGCACCAAACACAATCAGGACCAAACAAGCCCTTGCTAACCCTTTCATAGGTTTCTTGCACCTGCAGGTGGATACCAGGCGTTTTAGCTGAGGGATGGGTCTCTCTCCTTCTCTTTTCTTTTTCATAAATTTATTAATCTCATTTTATTTTAGTTTTACTTGCAAATAATTCCGAGTGGCTTCTTCCTTTGAAAATTTGATTCCCAATCGAATTGGGAGTTTTTTATATATCTTTTCTTTAAAAAATGTTTAATTACTATTATATTATTTTAGGGATTCACTATGAATATACAGGAATTATCTAATTTATTTCATGAAGTTTAACTTTAATCTGAAGATTTAGTGATTTTCTTTATTATTCGAAGCAAAATAAATTGGAGAAAACTGATACAAGTAGTCATCATTTGCGTAAAGTTGAGTATGAAACATGACAGTTGAAATCCAACTCTCTGGTAGATGAGGAGGTGTTTATAACAGTGACAAACAACAGTTGCTTTGCTTCCTGTTCTCCGTTTGACAGATGGTCTGCCATCTCATGCCGAAATGGTTGTCTAGACATTCTGCTGCGCAATTACAGTTCTGCCTGTTCTTGAAGTTGTTCCTGTTCAACATGTGATGAAGTTTGGTTAGAATCACAGCTCAGAAAACAAAAGTAGCTACCCAGATACTTGTTCCATTGCTTGATATCCAAGATGGTCAACTCAATCTCCGCATCTTATGAATCAAATCAATAACTGTTTGCTGTGATTCTTTCATCAACTCTTTGGTGCTTCCGAACTACAGTTGATTGATGTCTCAATGGGGGAAGACAAAAAAAACTTAAAAATTTTATGGCATCACTCCACAACTCCCGGGAAATCCTTCCTGCCCCTCATCGAAAACAACTTCCAGTGCAAGGAAGTTCAGAAATGAATCGAGTATGGAGGATTCAAATTAAACAAAGTCCGGAAGCAACCAAGATTACGCTCACCTCTGAAACAAAGAAGGCATGGAACCCATACGGAACTCTGTGTGGTAACTCAACAACTGCAACAGGATTGGGCGACATTGTTTTTGCATCAACTACATTCACTGATGATTTTCTGCATATTGAAGATGGAAAGTTAATTTCTAAATAAACCATGAATTAAGCTTAAACCTTAAATGAACCTGCAAACCACCCCGTCCTTAATGCCCCTTAGAAAGAATAACAGAAACAGAAAAGTCAAAGGGAAAGCGAAAGCGAAAGCCAGGTCATCATTTGTGGGCATATAGTCACTTTTTAGGTTGGATGGAAATAAAAAGAAAATTTCTTGAAGAAAGACATAAAGAAATAGTCGTTGGCAGATTTACAAATTGAGGTAGGAAACGAGAGCAATTACCCAGTACTTTCATCATGTGCAAAGAATATCAGGTATCCATCATCTTCCTCAGAAGTGGTGCCTGGCTTATGAGGGACGAATACAGCCTCTGAACCAAATCTACCAGGACCAAGGTCAAAGATGCCTTTGACATTTCCTCCAACTTCAATCTTTTCTTTTCCTGGCTCAGGCTCTGCCTGTAGATCAAATTTGACAATCCCTGTGACCTTTGCAATGCTGTTCAGAAGGGTTCCGTATACGTATCTTTGTTTCCTGAATTCACACTAGACAATCATTAGATAAAAATGATAGGAAAAAGACATGACTCACTCAACACCACATGTACAATATGAAACAGCAAAATCTACTCAAACCAATGAACAGCACTTCATTGACACAAATGCTGCACAGAGTAGATGTAAACCTGCCAGTGTAACTCTCATTCACCCTGGGAAAATCAACAGCAGATTCTGATAGTTTCTTTTGTGAAGCTACACCAGTTTTCATATTGAATCTCATCTCATACCTGCTCAGAAAGAAAAAAAGGCCATCAGAAACACTAAAAAATCAAACTACTATAAAATTCACAGGAATGTGTCATTTTACTCCTACAGTTCATCTACAAAATTCTCATGCTTTTCTTTGACAGTCCCATTGGCCACATCCAAACCTGGATCTTGAAGGCGGCAAGTGATTAAAACGATCTCATCCTCCTCCTCCCAGGCGTTGGCTAACAAAAGTCAGCAAATAAAGTTAGAACGAACTCCTGAAGACAGGAAAAAATCTGGCGTCTTGTTCATAAGCAAATAGAAGCCTTTGTATATTTGAAATTCCACTAAGATATATCAGCGGCATTGGCAAAAGAAAACTTCAGTTCCAAAAATAGAGTCAACTTTTTTGCGTTACACATAAGAGAAGCCAGACTATAATTTTAGGAACAGCACGCTGGCATATGAAAAGACTTTCCAGGTTAAAGAGGAACCTAAAAGACAGCCTACTGCAGTTTATATATATATTTTTACATCACTTTGACTTATTAATTTATGTCTACTAAATTTGATTGTCAACAATACGCATGTTAAGTGCCAAAGGTAACAATTTTTGAAAAACATGCATATAAAAGGTGGCTACAAATTTTGCGAGAGGATGCCTCTATGTTGATTGAATTTAATTGGAAAGAAGATCTGGCTAGGCGGTCCTAGCAATCCGACAAAGAAGCTTGATGTAAGCTAAAGACACAAATGATCAAATTCCTAGCCAGTGATAGAAACCAGGATAAAGCACAATAACCTAAAGACATGCTGGCTAAGTGTGTTCAGATTACATATTTATCAACACAGGAGGCTAACCACTAAGTGTGTTCAGATTACATAATTATCAACACAGAAGGCTAATGTTTTTGGAATTTAAAATATGTGAAAGAAGGGAGCTCACCATTGTGGAATATGAAGCAATTTGGAAGCTCAAACCATTTGATTAGGAGGTCATCCTTAGCATATCGTGGAAGGACACCAAAACGAGCTTTTTTCGTTGCATCAAATGTGAATATGAACTTCTGATCTTTCACCATTTCCTGCAAAGTTGTCAAGGAAAATATTTAAGGTTCGTTGTTTCTATTACATTACATACCATGAATGAAATCTAGTAAAAAAACTGAAGTATTAAAGTGACTTTTCATGCAAGTTACATGAGGATGCTTTTAGCTGTCCAGAAAGTTCTGTTGGAATTAAAATCTGGGAGAAAGTTAAAAGCAAAATCCTCATGAAAATCAGTTACATGAGGATGCTTTTAGCTGTCCAGAAAGTTCTGTTGGAATTAAAATCTGGGAGAAAGTTAAAAGCAAAGCGACAGTAAAGGAAACTGATTTTCATGCATATTTTGTCGAGAACTTGGAATAAAAGTTTGCAGGGAAACAACCATAACTTTCTCATGATTGGACGAGACCTGAGAGGTATTTTATAGCTAGAAATTAGCTAGATGTTCTGTTGGTTGCACTTATTTTTGTTACAAAAATATCAACAAATATGAGCGACCAGCATTCATTCCTTCACCTTAAAAATAAAAAATGATGGCGATTAAAATCAAGATAGTATAACTACCCCATGCATGGCATTATGCTTGCTGTTGCTTAGACTAGGTTACAATTAAAAGAAACTAATACATGAAGTTCGACTTGTTCAGTGTTTTTTGAAATTACTGGCCCGATATTCTTTCTATTTAGAGCATAGTTAAAATACTAGACCTGAGAGGTATTATAGTTAAACTAATACATGAAGCCTGAGTCACCAACCGGGAAGGTTAACGCGGGTGTTTTCATTACTTTTATTAAAAAAAACTAAAATTGACGACATTTTGGTTAAAAAACAAAAGACTGGGTTTTTCCACTTACCTGATCTGGTTAGGTTTCAGGTTGACATCTCGGATCATGCAAAGTTTAGAGTCATTTATCTTTAAATAGAGGATTAAGGAAATATGCAGGCATGCAGTCAAATCATTCACAACCTCAAAATCAATGATTCCTGCTTTCCATATTCTAATCAAGAATCTAGTTATAATTTTATGAGTTGATACCCCCCCCACCCCAACCCCCTCCCCCCTCCCCAGCTCTCTCCCTCCACATATAATCAGTTGAAAATGCTAGAGTGTTGTTTTCTTAGTAGAAATGTAGTATTAGTATTATGAACTGTGTCCAGAAACTGCAACAACCGAGACATTATTGTACCTTTGGTCGGAAGTACAAAGGAAGATCCAAAAAAACTGCATGGTTCTCTGTAATTGCGAAGTCATGCATCATGATGGGGTCTGATATTGTTATTGGTACAGGGTCATGCATGACACCATCCTTTGAAATGACTCTGTATGTCACATATGGTGGTTCATGTGAATACCCAAAGGTAAACATCTCTCCTGCAAGAAGGGGTTTTTTAATGTTAGTGTTCCACTTCAGTAAAACTAGTCGCTGAATTTCTTTTCACGCAGTTGGACATTACCAGTGAATGGATCCACCTTTGGATGAGCAGTGAAAGGATGTTTTAGTCTTTTGTCGTAGTCCAACAGGCCAAGAGTTTGCAGGTCTCCATCTTCCATAACTTTAACCACGTCTGCAAGATTCAAAGGGCATCACTCCAGTTCTCCACAAAAGGACCACAAAAGAGCACCGCACAGCTTTCCCACTCGGGAAATTCTACGATCTTCTCACAATTAAATTAGAGAGAGAAGATGAGCTTACAGGGTTTATCAGCCTCTTGAAGTGCTAAAAGTTTTCCATTGTGATAAATGAGATTTGTATTGCCTGGAAGAGGATTGCAAACAGTAAGTTTCTTCTAAATCTCAATTTTATGAGGATGTTTGATATGTATAATGGCATCTCTGGACCGAACTTCATAGCCAGCCAAAATAAACCCAACTTACCGGTCCCAATTCCATATGAGTTGTCCAATACTTTTGTTTTCAGTCGAAGTATTTGTATGTTAACCATAAGTAATCCAAACAGCCCCTTGAGGTCTCCAAACTGCAAATGACAGGTCAAGGATCAGAAGGCAATTATTCGAGAGAAAATATGCAGCAAAAGGCTCATATACTCTTGATTTATGAGCAAAGCTACAAGAGGTATGAGAGCATTCAGGTGCCCTTAGAGCATCAAGCAATGTTAAAGATTCAAAATTAACTTAAGGCTACTAACCTTGCAGTGAGATTACAATATTTACCTTATAAAACTCAAATCTGCTGTTTCCCAGGAATGATTCATAAATGAATAAACTCAGCTATTTACTATATACTTGAAGCATACAGAGACAAACAAGAATACTGTTAGCGAACTCCGATCGCGGAAGATGGAGCATTACTCGCAATATTTATGTAACGAATAACCTGTTACTCGGAAGAGAGGCAGGGCATTACATACTCTCCACATCCTTACTGTTACACATCTGAAATCGTTCTCTTAAAATCACAACAGTTATTTGAATTTTTAGAGTTGGATAATGAGAACATCAGAGCTTCGTACATAAGCTAAAAATGACCCCCCAGAAATGTCACAAAATAATTCCATCTTAAACGAAACCCTTTTCAGGTGGTTCATGACCGTACCTTCATAAACTTGGCACCTCCAAAAAACTCTTCTTGTTTAAGTCGTGATGTCTTGACATATCGACTGACATATGCTGCCTTTCCATCCTTAATGCGCAGACCATGAATCATTCTATAAATTCATATGACAAAATAAATTAACATAATTGACTTGGTAAGTGATAACGATAATCCTGATGGAACGAAAGCAGCATATAACACTCAGAATGTAAACATTTATAAAGGGAGGGAAGGTGCGAAGGGAAAATGGAATAACCACTGCATATAACGCAAAAGAAAACATCTTATCATGAATTGTTATGAAGGACATTATGTTTATGCGTTGGCATTCCAATAGTCGGCTCAAAGAAGAATCATACGCAACAGTTCTACCAGAACCAACTTCAAATAATTGATAATGCATGAGTTGATGTCCATGACAGGAACGGCAATCAGGCTCCGTGAAGTGTTCTTGCATAGAAAACCATTTTTTTTCTTTCTTGTATATGAATCATAAGAAAATAAATATATCTGCAAGCCATCGTGGATGAATCAAACTCTCTGGTACATGAATACTTCGTTCTCAAATGCAAGATTTTGCCTGTGTCCTACAGACACCGCTGAATTTATTTTTAAGTTCACTACTACTGTGATGCTTATGTGTGAATATTGTTAAACCTATTTTTAATTGGCTTCAGAAATCTTATGACCCTCCTCTCTTGGATATGTCCAAGAGTCTCAAGTGGGGGCTTTTCAGGGTGCCAAGCCCCACCACAAGAAGGTTTGGTATTATGCTAAGCCCCGACTATGCATCCAAGATACTAGAACTCGACAATTCACTAAATTTACAATAATTTAGGTTCAATAAATATAACAGATCTAGTATATTTAGACTTGACATTGCAACAAATCCAAATTACTTAAAATTAACAAAATATTTAAACTTGATAGTTAGCTAAGTTCAAAATAATATAGATCTAACATACATGTCATATCTGAAATGCTTGGACTTAGCTGAAGTTAGCTAAGTCCAAACTAATAATCATCCTCCCTTGACATGTCCACGAGAATGATCAACCTCTTTTGAATCTAATCTCGATGAAGAACTTAACCTCTATAAGCTTAGCTACATTTGACGCATTAAACTTTAATTTTCCTACACATTTTAAAGTATTTAAAAGTCCTCAAAAACCCACCATATTCCCATCTAAATTAATATAAATGTAATGAATATTTATTTTTTATTAAACGTTATCATAATAATTATACTGTAGGCCCTTTTTTTAAAAAAAGAACAAGATTTATAAGCTATGAATACACTATGAGATCTTCAAAACAAAGATTTATCATCTTTATTCTTTATTGCATATATATTTTTAAAATATCTTTTTTTAGAATATTTTTATATTTTCTCTCTAAAAATATATTTATTTAAGCATAGTAAAAATCTCACCTTCACCAAAAAGATGTTATACAAGTATTAACAATGAACAGCTTTAGCATAGCAATGATCAAATCTAAGCTATCAACTACTTGACAAGAGAAAATAGAGAAGATTACTGGGATTAATTTTGTCTAGCCTGATAAACTTATTCTCAAGGTAGTTAGATTTCCAGGACATCATCAAATATAGTCTATATCCATTTCCAATACCTATAACCAGATCAAATTCGGGTGACTTATATGCACCTGCTAAACAAACATCAAGGAAGCAATTACGAACACAAAAGACTCAACGCTCACTTTAGGTTTCATGTCAAGGCACTAAACATTGACAAGCCTCAGCATTGACTATTAAGTCTATAACAACAATTCCAAGTAAAACTAGGCAAACTATTATCGACAAGCCTAGACAGAGAAGAAAAGGGAAACACCAGGCACTTCACTCATTCCACTGCTACCAGAAAATCATGGAACAGGCACGCATTGGATTGATTGCGCTCAACATCATAAAGAGCGTTTGGACACAGAACACAAGATGTTAGGTAAAAAAAAACCATCACATCATGGGAACTGGAACGTTCATGCGTGCGCGTGTGTGTGTGCGCAGAGAGGAGTAGTGGAAAAACCAAAATCTGCAATGTATTAGCGCAACATACCCGTCGCCATCAAACCTGCACAGCCATCCAGACAAGGATTTAGCACAAATGTTCAGCTGAACAGCCACTTCGTTTTCATTTACAATGACAGACAAGCATTGAGTTACCAATTGTATCCAGCCACGGGTGCGAACTTCGGGTTAGGACCCACCCTCACAAACTCCCCATTCATGCATTCCTAAATAAAGAAAAATCAGTGAAACTTCATTTCAACTTTATTGCCTAACAAAATAAATAAACTATACAGATATGGTCTTTTTTCCTTTAATTGATTTAAGATTTGAATATTACCGTTGTTAAACTGAACATTTTCATTACTTAATATATCTGTTGTCGTACTGTGCTGAGCTCTATCACGGTCTAATTTTCCATTAGAATTTACCAGTAAACTCCAGCGGTCATCCAACATCCGTTACTCTTATTTCTGATTACTTAATTAACGAGCCAATGATCATGGAATTTCGAACTACAACAAAACGTAATGAATGGTTTATAAACTTCACATGAACGAAACGGAGACAATTTACATTACATTAATTACAATATAAACTTCGCGGTTTTAATATTCAAATCAAAGTGCCTAATTCTTTTATTTATTTGTGTACTCAAACTTTTTTTTTTAATTGCACCCGTTTATGGTTGAATTTAATGAACTATAATTTGAATTTGTGGTAGAATCACAAATTCAAAGAAAGAAGATTAAATTGTATAACAATGGAAAACTTTGTGGCAATATGAAATTCTCGCTAAAAATTCTTTTTAGTCCATGTATTTTCCTTCTTCTTCCTTTATAGCCCTTGAAATTTTTGAGATTTTAGTTTTGATTTAAAAGTTTATTTTTTTTATTTTTCAATCCCATGATTTGAAAAATGAGAAAGTGTCACTAAAAAACTATGAAAAAAAAAAGTTGTTGATTAGCCACATTCCAATAAGATTGATCCATTGTTAATGAATTTTTTTAATGAGAGAAGTTCAATTGAAGTTTTGTTTGGCTTTTATCTTAAAAAAAAAGAGAGAGAGAGAGATTGGGGTTTGGGAACTTTTTTTGGATTTGATCAGTTGTTTTTTTTTGTTTTTAAACAAATTAAATATTAATTTATAATTAAGAATAAGTTTATTAAGATCTCTATCATATTTCTTAAGTATTTTTAGTGTAAAAAATGGTTGGAAATGAATTTTTAAAAACATAAAAGTTAAAAATCTAAATTTCTAGTCACATAATGTGATTAGATTTCAACTAGATGATTATCAAATTTAATGGGATTAGATTTCCATGCTCGTATCTTTTTTTTCAACTACATCCCTTTATATCAATTTTTTTAAAAAAAATTTAATAAGTTATATTTTGAACTTAGAGTAGAGTCACATAATTCAAAGAAAAGTGTAAAACAAATAAAAACTATGGTTAATTGGAAATTCTCACTAAAAATAAGTTTTAAAAAATAAAAAAAAAATTATTTTAATATATTTTTAAATAAAAATACTTTAAAAAATAATTATATCTTCACTCGTATAGGGTTTTATTACTTTGAGGTGTTATTTATTTAATATAGTATTATGAAGTGAAACTGTGATTAGCAAGTAGTCCTTACAGGGAGGTGACCTTCGACAGGAAGGTCCTTAACGGGAGCAGTTTCTTCAAGAACCGGAGCGAAGTTACCGGAGAGATAAGGATGTGGTTCAGAGGTATCACGCATCAATTTCATAACCAGCTTTTCCAAGTAGTCGACGAGTTTTGAAGTCAGTCCTTTTTGCGGCTTTGGATTCACTTCCACTATTGGGCATCCTGCTCCGACGCCGTCCTCTTGCTTTTTCTCCACCATTTCGGTTTCTCTTCCTAGCAGAGATGGTACCAGCTTGTGATAGAAACAACAAGAATTTGCCTTGCATGTCTCTTTTTATAGAGGAGAAGGGTTGTGTTTATCTAATGGCGATGATGCCAACCACTTGTAGGTGACGGGCATGACAGCTGCGCTTGACATTATTTTTATTATTTTGAGCAGATTAGACTGGTATGAACGATTAAGAACGAACCAGTTCTATCCTTTGGGTCTTTTGTTAACAAGGACAGGAAAGCATCAAAAGATAAATGTCTGGTCATTAAGGACAGAGAGAAGAATGGCATCTTCGCCAAGAAAATGTTATGGTGTTGGCTTACTCGATCGGTCGTAACTTAATGACAGATAGCATGGTGCCTTCGCTAAGAAGATGTCAAAAAAAACCTAGCTGTTTATCGAATTAAAAAAAATGTTGAGGCTATTAATTGAATATCTTATGCAATAACAAGCTCAATCAATTACATTTTTTAAAAAAAGGCTGTCGGTGTTCGAGGTGTAAGGTCTCTTTCACATGTCTTCAGCGCCTGAAAAGCATAACTCCCGTCATCCCAAATGCGAACAGTTGGACTTCATCAGGATTTGGCGGACTCTGCGAGCGAGTTTTAACTTGGTTTTTTTTATTAAAATTTAAAAGAAAATTTAAAATATTATTTTAATATTTTTTGCAATTAAAAATATTTTAAAAAATACAAAAACTCATTCACTTAATTCCATTCTCACACTTACACATGCATTTACCATTTATAATGATTGTATTTTATGATTAACTAAAAATTTAATTAGGAGCATGAGTGTAATTGCTTTTAAAATAATTTTTTATATTAAAATATATGTCAATAATTTTAACATTAGCACATTCATATAATTTAAAAATATTAAAAATATATTAATTTGAAGTAAATAAAAAAATAAAAAAATTTAATTTTTTTTCAAAAATACTTTTAAAACAAAAATAAATAGGAAATATAAGCAATTATTGTTTTTCTAGTCTGCAATATACTCTTATTCATAGATAATTAGACTATTCCTTGAAACAAAATTTTTGACGGTGACAGATCAGGTTAATCAAACTAAATTAAATAGGTTTTTATTTGGTTTATGTGATATATCAATCTAGGTTTTCAATCATAACATACTAGGTCAATTTATTTTTTTATTTTATATGAAACTCAAACTAGCTAGTATATGCTATGAGTCAATTTACAGGGTGATATAGATTTAAAAACTATATTCTAACACCTTTAACTTTTCGTTGTTCCAAACTTGTTTTTGAAGTTTTATTTTATAAGTTCAAGGTTTTCTTGGATCAAGAAAAAAACAACATATGATCAATTTTCTTTTATCGAAGAAATTTAATTCGGTGAAAATTATAAAATTTGATTTTTTTTATAAACATAAAGAAGGATTTTCTATTTCTAGCAACATTTTCAAGACATAATTGCAATACTAGCATCTATCATTATTTACTAAGCTAATTTAATTTATTTAAATTAAAGGTGATTATTTTCAGTTATGTTTGATTTTTGCTAATTTAATTTACTTAAATTATGGGTGATTATTTTCAGTTATGTTTGATTTTTATAAAAAAATTAATTAAATTTAAATTTAAAAAAACTAAGACTAGTTTAAACCAACTAGTTTTGATTTAGCTCAATTTGGTTTTTAGGATAACAATCTATTCAAATTGATTTGGTTCGATTTTTTAGTTTTGTCTTGATTTTTTAGCTTGGCTTGATTTTTTTTATTTTGGCTCTATTTTTTTATTTTAGCTCTATTTTTTGTTTAACTTGGTTTTTTTGATTTGGTTAGATTCGGTTTTTTTAATTTTAAGCTTATAAAATCAAAATAAAACTGAATGATTTTTTTAAATTTTAATCAGTTTTTTTCATAATTTAATTAATTAATTAATTTATTTATTTAATTTAATCAGTTTTTTAATTTTTTTCCCTTGACCTAAATAATAAAATGTAGATTGTAGAGTGAAAATAATAAATTATAGAGTGGAAACAGCACCAACTTTTGAATATATTATAGAGTGGGAACAGCACCAACTTTTTGAATATTTTATTCTTTCTTATTTCCTCGTTCCTATTTTTCAGTAGAATTGTTAAGGATTTAATTAGTGTTCTTTGGTTATATGTGAAAGGGGGGGATTTGATTGATGCTAGGGTTTTTGTTTTCCAAATATGCTAGTCTCTGTTTATAGAAGATTCTCTGCATTACGAGACATTGAATCCAACGCCGCCGGTAAAATCCCTACGCCCGCTCTCTTCACGAGACATTAATTGCATCGTCGCAGTGGCTCGTACGTTGTGGTTGATATCGTGATAATATATTTATTTTTTAAAATATATTTTTAATATTATTATATTAATTTAAAAATATAAAAAAATAATTTCAAACATAATTATTACCACAAGCAGATTCACTCTTGGATGTTAGAGCATCTCCAATAAAAAAGTTAAATAGATAACTAAAAATAAAATATTAATATTTTAGCTTTTTCTTACTTGTTTTGTCAAATAAAATGCTAAAATATCTTTTCTCTCTCACAAATGCTATTTTTAAATATCTCTTCAAAGAGTCAAAACCAACAAAATAGGATCACTAAAAAAATAAACTAATTAAATATAGACATGTGAAAAAAAATAACATTAAATATATTAAAAAATAATAAAACACTTGTTTTTTTCACTCCAATATAAATGGCTCTTCAAATAGCTTTTTTCTATTAAAATAGATATTGTAAGATAAGCTATATTTATACTATTTAAAATGCTATTTTATTAATTTAGCTTTTCAAAATAACATTAGGGGTGGCCTGATCACAGTGACCACCTTGCTTCGCGAGTTCAATTATGTGAGCTTAAAAAATAACTACATAAAACGAAGCTGGGTCGATTTTTTTAATATAAAAAAATTATCCATATGATTATAATATTTTTAAAGTAGAAAAAGAAATTCAGAATCCTTCTTATTAATTTGATTATTAATGTTGGATTGAATAATTCTGATTAATTTAATTATATAATTAAAAAACAAATAATAAAAAAATCCATAAAAAATGACTAATGAGTAATAAAAAAGAATGTTTATCAATATTATATAAAGACGTTCTCTAAATATTTTTAAAAAATCTCAATTATCTCATTTAGTAACAAAATAAAAATTATTTGAGAATAGGATATTATCATAAAGAGAAAAATAAAAAAAAATCAAATTTTAATTACTATCAAAGCAAACATTTAAGGAAGAGCTCAAAAAAATTAATTAAAAAAATTAAAAAAATATAATTCTAGTTAACATGTTAAATTTATGTCCCGATTTCATGACTAGAATTACTGCTCACAAAACAAGTTAAATAAAATAATAAAAATTAATTTATAAACAAACTAAATGATTAAAGACAAGATTAAAAAAATAATTAAAAAAATCAAGTTAACTCGAATTAATTATATTAATTTGCCACCTAAGATATATAATTGAAGTATCTTTATAAAAAATTAAAAAAAAAATTCATAAAAGTCAAAACTCAATAAATTAATAATGAATAATAAAATTAAAAAAAAACAAAAAAAACTAACATTAAATCAAACTAATCTTCCAAACCTATTAAAAAATTAATTAACTCAGTTTGCAAACTAATTAACTGTCTCTTGGTGCACAGTTATAGACTAATGTCTTTTAGCTTTTGTTTTAATTAGTTTGTTGGCCGCCCTATAGTGAGGGTATGAGCGACACTTTTTTGAACGAGAAAAAAATTGTGCGTATACACACGCAGATTACGCAGGAGGAGGATTATCGAAGCTCGTTGAACTTCCTCCTTTTTTTTTTTTTTTTTTTTTTTTTTTTTTTTTTTTTTTTTT